GAAGGAAGGAAGGAAGGAAGGAAGGAAGGAAGGAAGGAAGGAAGGAAGGAAGGAAGGAAGGAAGGAGAGAGAGAGAGGAAGGAAGAAAAAGAGAGAGAAAGAAAGAGAGAGGAAGGAAAGAAAGAAAGGAAAGAAAGAAAGATAGATAGATAGATTTCTTCATTGTATGCATATAGACAGGGATATTGAAAATTGTACTGAAGACTGTTCCTCTGATTTTCTGCCAAGGCAGATAGGCAATAAGATTGCAAAATTGAAAAGCAGCCCAAAAATAGGATGCATGTTGATATTAACATACCAAAAAAAAAAAAAAAAACGAGTTCAGTACCTTGATTTATTTTGGTGACAAGAAACCCACGGAGATTATGGATCGTCCTGGCCTTAATGGCTTTCTCCTTATTTCACTGGGAATGGGAAACTAACATTCTCATGCAGATTGGCTATTTCCACAAAGATGGATGGGGATCATAAAACACGCCATGGATTCCTGCGAGGAACTCATCATTGGGGTTCAGCTGTTAAATGGGATTTCCAAAAGAAGCATGGAGAGAAAGAATGTCTTTACTAATCTGAGGGCTCTTTTTAATTAAATTCTTGTGCATTATGGTGTCTCATTCATCAACCCCTGAAATAATAATTAACACTCTTGGGGGTTTTCCCCCTCTCAGAAAAATAATAACTAAGAACTATTACAGGAAAGCCCTCCTTTAGGGAAGGATTTTTTTTGTCATTGAGAATATATGTAGCATTCCTATCCTCCTCATAACCACACTTTATCACTTTTACCAACACTCCCCTCTTCATGTTTTTAACACAGTATTGAATTTTTGGATATTTATTGTACAAATGCCTTTAATTTTGATGCTTGACACTCCTTCGTAGATTATACATTGATAGTATCTTTCATGAGCTCAGATAAACCTTATCTGAGTGAAAACTTGATGTTCAGAGGTACAGCCATTCATTCTGCATTCCCCTGCTCTTTTCCCTATAGACAAGAGAAGGGAACTATTTGTCTGGAGAATTCACTATCATTTCGGGTGGGATATCCTGCATTTTTTAAATTACAGGCCTCCCAGAGTCATTTACTGAGATAGGCAGCTATAGAAATCAAATACTATATTTTTCAGAGTATAAGATGCTCCGAAGTATAAGACAAACCTAGCTTTTGGGGAGGAAAATAAGAAACAAATTCTGCCTCTGCCTCCCACCAATTTGCCTCCTTGCAGCAAACAGCAAACAGCCTGGTCAGCTTCAGCACAGCCTGATTGAGCACAAGAAGCTGATTGTTGGTTGGAATTGCCTCCCAAAGATCAGCTGTTTCAGGCTGCAGGAATTGCCGACGCCTATTGCCGCCTCCGTTTTCCCCATTTCTGGCCTCCACATCCCATTTTCAGCTTCCTCATGCCACGTTTTTGGCCTCTGTGCACTCCATTTTTGACCTGTTCTGGGCGGTGGGGATTGAAATGGGCAGAAAATAGAGTGCATGGAGGCCAAAAATGAAATTCAAAGGCTGAAAATGGGGCATGCAGAGGTGGCAATAGGTGATGCCGATCCCTGCAGCCTGAAACAGCTGATCATCGGGAGGCTGATCCTATTGAAAACCAGCTGCTTGTGCTAATCAGGCTGTGCTGAAGCTGACCAGGCTGTTTGCTGTTTGCTGCATGGAAGCAAATTGCTAGGAGGCAGAGGCCAAAGGGTGGAGGCCGGTGGGTGGGTGGGGCTTCGGCAACATTCACTGTATAAGATGCACAGACATTTCCATCCATTTTGGGGGGTGGAAAACGTGTGTCTTATACTCCGAAAAATATGGTAAATAAATAAATAAATTTCCCATTTTCTTCTGGGCTTCTAGGGCACCATTGGTAAATGTGCACAAGCCAAAGAAGTTTACAGGGAGAAGTGATCAGCTATTCTCTTTGGCCTATCTGCTCCCCTTGAATTTAAACTCAAGCTAGTGTTGCCTTGCTATGTGGCTTTGTTTTCCAGTCATTCCAGGGTTTTGATTGATTGATTATAGCCATTCTTTAGTCCTTTGATAAAAGGTAGGTAATAAATCTTCCGGCAATTAAATACATGCTGCCATTGCAAAGCAATACATGTAGCCCCAAGCATTGGCTCTGGTTCACAGACTGAGTCAACCAAGCTGTCATGTTCTTGGCTATCTATCTGGTAACCACTTTGTATTCTTTTACAGAAGTTGATGTGTGTGAAAAGCCAGCTATCAGAATTAGGCCTGTCTTCGAAGGGCAAACATACCATTCATGTCAGTGGCATGTTTTTATAGTCTTTCCTGTTAACTTCCAAAACAGTAATGAGTTCTCTGTTTCCTTCCAGCTATATGTTGTCTTCGGGCAATCCTGAAGGTTACTGTCTGATTGAAATGGCTGCAAATGAAACATCTTCTGTCCATCAGAGGACGTCTCTGCCAGCGCAAAGGACTCAGGTGAACTTGCCAAGCAGAACCTCAAATCAAATGTTAGCCCATCTATTTTAATATCTCTTACAAGTGCCCGTGACATAATTTTGAATTAGTTGAGGCATATTAATAATGATGTTCATTTAAGAGGCAACCAGCTGGGAGGGGGATTACCCTGCATTTCCCACTGCTGTGAACAAGATGGCTCTTGCTACAGCTTAATTTCAGTGGGATTTTTATGGGAGAAGTCCCTAGTGGTGGTCTTAAGGGGCTTCATGTTCAGCCAAGACAGTTGATGGATTGCTTACACAAAGCAGTTCATTTACGAACAACGGGAACTTGTACCCCAGTGATGAGGGTGTATATTAAGACTGACACCTTTTTGCAATTTAGATAATTCCAAATGCGTTAAGATGAAATGCCTATCATCTCTAACACAGACTCAATTTTATAACAATTTTCTCTGCCCAATAAAAAAAGTAGCCAAAGAAGAAAAAAACATTAAGGAGCAATTGTTATGCTTTATGTTAAATAAATGTAGAAGCAAACAATTAATGAAATAAACAATTAATGTTTATTTAGTTTACTTATAGCTGCCTAACTCCTAAGCACCTAAATATTAGTTAATTAGGCTATCCTATTTAAGGCACCAAAAATTAAGGAAACACGAAGTTAGTTTTCCAAAAGATTCCTTTTCAAGAAGTAACTGAGCCTCCTTTGTTTTTCTTTGAAGTCGTTTCACTTCTCATCCAAGAAGCTTCTTTAATTCTTCTTCAGAACTAAAAACTTTTCTTGGATGAGAAGCAAAAAGTCTTCATGGAAAAACAAAGAAAGTCCAGTTACCTTTTGAAAAACCACCTTTGGGACAACCGTGACCTGGATGACTGAGAATCTCCATAGACAAAATTAGTTTTGTTGAGGTATCATTGTTTTTTGGAGTTTTGCTGCCCAGAAAGAGTAGGTCTTTATTTATTAATATAGATGAATGTATCTGCTGCTAATTTGGGAAGTACCCAAATGGGTGGATTCAGCAATGATCGCCCCTCCTTTCCTGGATTAAGGCTTCTACAATTCTAGTTATTTTCATTTTATTTCCTTGATACTCAAGTTTTTTAACAAGTGACTTGTCATGGGGCTTTTTGGTAAAAGTAAAGCACTTAGCTGCTAATTTTCTACTTTGAATGCTTTGGGATATCTGCTGCTTCTTTTCTTGTTGTTTAGACCAGTCACATTCTATAATGCTTTTATCCCCTTGACATTTTTCAGACTTATAAAAAAAATATAGGCCAGACTCCACTTAAAAAAAAAATACTTTTTGGATGAGGCCAAACCACTTGCTTTTCCTGCCCAAACCATTCTTAGTCAAGAAGCATATAAATTTCATTATCATCATTATTATTATACAACACAGCAGAAAAGCCTGGAATGGACTAAAGTCTGGACCAGGCCTGATGAAATTTTCTTTCTTTAACTGCAGAAGAAAGCTTCTTAAAAGAATTGATCTAAGAATCGTAATATATTTATGTCTCTATTTTCTGACACTGCCAGATAGATTCAGAACTAAAAGGGAAGATGGCCTGCCTGCCTTTACAATTCTGGAATATGCCACGTAGTGGTGGTATTCAGCCAGTTCGCACTGGATCGGGTGAACAGGTAGCAAGTTCTGGCTGGCCACGCCCCCGACCCGGTCACCCGGTCGCTACTGGCTCGCTTGCCGCGCCTGCCCAATGCTAGCTCACCCCGCTTGTCTGATGCTCGCCCCTTAAGTATTTCTTTTTTTCCCCTCCCAACAATCAGCTGTTCATATGATCAGCTGTGCCATGATTCTCCTTGCTGAGGTCCAGGAAGGCAAAAAATGGAGGGAGGGGCTCAGCCCCCCTCCATTTTTTGCTTTCCTGAGCCCTGGAGGAGCCTTCTGGAAGCAAAAACACCCCCCCCCCAGAGACTCCTCTGAAGCCAGGAAGGCCCCAAGAGTGTGGAGGGGTTCCATGTGCCCCTTCCCATGCTCTGTTTTTTTCTTCCTGAGCCTCAGGGGACCCTTCTGGGAGCAAAAACACCCCCCAGAGGCTCCTCTGAGGCCCAGAAGACCCCAAAAACAGGTCAGGGTGGCTGAAAAAAAGCAAAAAAGCCACGCCCACCCAGTCACATGGCCAAGCCCACCAAGCCATGCTCACCAAGCCACACCCACAGAACCAGTAGTAAAAAATTTTGAATCCCACCACTGATGCCACTTTGCAGGGGGCTACAATATGATACAGACAGGAGTAATTTACTTCAGCTAACTGCCTGGGGTTCTTCTCTCAGATTTTCTTTCATGAATAGAAAACAGTACACAATTACAGCCATTCTTATTGGAGCTTTTATCTGTGTGATCTTTTTTAGGTTAGCTTTGGGCCAATATTCCTTGGAAATGTCCCTTCTCATCGCACAAACATTCATCCAAATTCTGGAAAGATTTATGGCTTCAGGGGCTGCATCAGGGAATTGCAAGTCAACACCCAAGAACTCTCCATTATAGAGGAAGCATTGGAAGGGCAGAACATTGACAACTGTAATGTTCCGGTTTGTAACTATCATCCATGCCGCAATGGTGGTACATGCATTAGGTAAGCATAGTCATTGCAATTATATATGTCAGTGCATCATTTGATTTAAATGATTCTTTGGCTTGTTTGTTTGCAAAATGTATAGGCTGCCCTATGTCAGACTGGCTACCATTAGTCTTCAATTAACAACAATTCATTTAGTGACCATTCGAAGTCACAATGGCAATGAAAAAATGACTTATGATAGTTTTTCCCACTTATGACCATTGCAGCATCCCTATGTCACATGATCAAAATTCAGTCGCTTGGCAACTGACTCATAGTTATGACGGTTGCAGCGTCCGGGGGTCATGCGATCGCTTTTGGCAACCTTCTGACCAGCAAAATCAATGGGGAAGCCAGATTCATTTAACAACCATGTTACTAACTTAACAGCTGCAGTGATTCACTTAACAACTGCGGCAAGAAAGGTTGTAAAATGGAACAAGACTCACTTAACAACTATTTCACTTAGCAACAAGAATTTTGGGTTCCGTTGTGGTCATAGGTTGAGACTACCTGTAGCATTTTTCTATTGAGTTTCCAGAGGTCTTGCTTGATAAGTAAGAGCTACTCTTGTCTTCTCAAGATAGGATCAGAGGGTAAGTTTTCAGCCAATACACAGAGAGAACTAAAAAGAATTGGCCAGGGGTATTTTAGGATGAATTCCTAATATATCTTCCCTCAAAGTCAAAGGTTTGTACTTGGTTAACCTCTGAGGTTGAGGAAGGGATAAAAAAAATGGGAAAAAAGATTTTCAGTTTGTGTCCTAAGAAGCAAATCTGAGGATGAACAGGCAAGAACCTGTGATTGTGACATGTTTATCTTCATGCCTAAAAACAACCTGACATAAGTTTACAGCAAAATAAGTTTAGGGCAGTCCTGGAAGGAAAAATGAAAGGACTGGATTGTGAAATGACTATGTTTCAGCTGATAATGGAGGATGAGGATTCATAAGTGCAAACTAATGAATGATTGGTTGAAATTTTATGTTCCAGTGAGGAAAAAATAGGAAGGACAGCATAAGAAGATGTGACTATACAACAAGCTTAATGCAAATTCGAAAACAAATAGGGAACATACAGAAACTGAAGGAGCAGAAGTGAACTTAGACAATGAGTGCAACATAGCTGAGAAATATTTCTTTACTATGAATGAGGTTGTATCTCTAGAAGCAGGTTAATAGCATCTTCAGGTACTAAAGGAGCTATTTTAGTGGAATCCTTATGCATTATCTTTGAGAAATCCCAGCGAGTTGGTGAAGTGTTAGTTGACTAAAGGAAATGTCTCTTTTCCTCAAAAGAGGGAGGGGGGAGGGAGGGATGAAGTGGGGGGGTGGGGTAGGAAAATCCAGCAGACCATTCATTTAAAAAATTACAGATTTTCATAAAGATATATGGAGGGTTTGTGCATTTTATTTACAGATGACATACCTCATGATTATAACCAATCTTTTAGAATATCAAAACACTCTTGATAGATTAAAGAAATGTTGAAGGATACCCGGATTGATGAAAGGATCTTGGGATAATTTGAGCCGGGAAAGGAGCAAGAGAAATGCACTATTAGGCATTACAAAGCATATTGTCCAAATCACAGAAAATAATTGCTCTGTTTTACTTTGATCTGATCCTGCCAAGTGTACCCAGTTCTTGGCATTATACTTTAAGAAAGATTCAGAGAAATTAGAACAGACTTACAGGATAGCAGAGAGGATGATTCGAGTTGTGTGAAGAAAGACTAAAGAAACCAAGAAAAGACAGTTCCGTGGAGGGAAGTGATTTGATTCAAATATTCAAATATATCTTCAATATCTGGAAAAAATGTTGCAAAGAAGATCAGCATTTGTTCTCTCTCATTCCAGAGTACAAGTCACTGATTAATGTTTTCAAATTACAAAAAAAGCAGATTCTGTCTGAATCCTGGAAAAACATCCTAATAATAACAGTTGTTTGACCCTGGAACCAATTACCCACAAAAATGGTGATTTCCCCTTCATTGACTCTGTTTAAGCAGAATCTAGACAGCTATTTGTCTGGGCTGCTTTCCTTTGGATTTTGCACTGAGCAGGAGCTCTGAATAGCCCTTCTGGCTCTATGATTCTAAAATATTTAAATATTTTATTCATTTATCCCTTTATTAAAAACAAACAAACAAAACACAGCAGGTTACTCTTCAGCCAAAAAGATGTCTTGGACAGCATGGTCCTAGGAAAAGATCCAATTTCTTGGTGTTGCAAAGAGATGCCACATTTATACTCCTCCATATTTTAGTGGCCATATCTGAAATTATGTAAATTGACTTAGTTCCTCTGATGACCTGCTTCAATGAAATAGTTCAAGGAAAGGCAAGAGAGGCTACCTTCCATCTTTTCTACTGCTGCAGCCTGACTGGAATGGCTTTAGTCAAGTAATCATCAATAATAGAAAAAACCCAATGAATCTGGTTTGTCTGACCTTGTTGGAAAAAAGGCATGCTATTTCTTCATTGCAATCTAAGCTGTTTGAAATATTGAAACCCAGAAACTCAGTTTTGTTTTGTCCCCCATCTCCCCCAAATGGGGCTATTCAAATTAGGAGTTTGGCTAAAATACATCTATTTTTAATGAACAAGAAGTGTTCACAGTGATCATGCCACTTCATGTGACATTAGGATTAATCCTAATCCAAGCAATGCCAGGTGAAAATTGCTAAACTCAGCAGTTAACAGGGAGACAGTGCAGGAATTTGAATGCTATATATTTGTCCCAGGCACAACATTTAATTCAAGTGTTTCTGGGAAAACGCTTCTGGGAGGCTTGAGGTGTCCTGTATATATTAGCATGCCTAATTTATTATCACTCATGGATTTAGAACTACATTTAATTATTATGTCTGCAAAATGATTATATACGATCAATTTGGTTACAAAACAAAAACAATTTCTAGTAATTTGTAATATTTTCTAGCCTTTACAAGTTAGTTTTGTGTGTGGTGGTGGTAGTGTTGTTTTCCCAAAGATCCTTCTCTTTATTATTTTTATCAGAAGTATTTTATATTATTTGAAGAAACTGTGGGATCAGCATTGCTTTCTAGCAATTTCTTGTTTAAAAAAAAATCCTTATAGGATATGTTAAATAATGTGTTAAATCCTTATATGTTAAATAAGTGATTAAACCATGAGCTAGGTCTTCATGCCATAGTTTATGATAAAATTATTGGGAGTTCAAGGATACCTGGAAGCTATTCAACACAGGCTAGAAAGAGTCAGAAAGCTAAACAGCCTAAAACCAACAAGAGAAATGTTGTGGCTCTGGCGATTTTAAATTTCATTTTTTTTTCATAATCTCCCTATAGAGTGGTGTGGTGGCCTAGCGATAAAGACTCTTGCCTCATACTTGGAAGGTTGAGAGTTCAATCCTCAGTAGTGGCAAATGTTTCTTTCTCAGGGTGCAAAGAAAAAAAATAGCTGCTGCAAACTCTGTGTGGAATCAGGAAGGGTTTCTGGTGAGTAAATGCTCAGTTCCATTCAGTTGTCCAGACTCTACCACAAATGAAAGAATTACAGGGTCGCAAAAAGGAAGTTTCAGAGTCTTCTTATGTAATTTAAAAAGTATTCTGTGAGAAACCTCTGATGGGAAATTATTGTTCTGTCTCTTCCGATACAAGCTAATGGAAAGCAATTTGGAAATAAGTAACAACAGTTAATTCATGGAGATTCACAGAATCCTGAGATTTCATCAGAATCACAAAATGTGCATCATGATTTGCTTATTGCATTTATTTGTTGATTCATCATGTGTATTATGATGAAAGCTCTGCCTCTTATGAATATCCATGCAACGTTGAAGTGCATGTGCAAAGGAGACACAGTTTTTGTTTTGAGATGTATTTTATCATTTCCCCCTTCATCCATGATCAGAAGATGTCCTGTTCTAGGGCAGCAGTTAGATCAGTTGTTAGAATGCTACATTGGACGCACCTATAAATCTGCTGATCACTTAGGGCAATAACGAGAATGAAGATGAACTTTGAAATATTCTTATCTAATTGCCCCAAGTCCTGCTAGGTTGCTTTATTGAGGCAAAAGGTGGGGGTGAGTTCCTGAGAGGGATGAAGGAGGAACCTCACCAAGTATATTCCCAGCAGGGTCACCCAAGATGTGAATCAATAATTGATTCAAAGAAGAACAGACAATGATAGAAGGGTTTTTCTTTAATCTTTCAAAGCTAAGTCATACAATATATAGGCCAGAAATCAATAAATGATTAAATGGGGAGGTATCATTGAAATGATTCTTCAGCTGGAGTCCTAAGTATGCTGATGTAGGAACAAGTCCTACTGAATGTGGTAGAATATGCTTCTGGCTAGACCAATTGACCGATTATGGATACTCAAAACAAGCGAAACCTTGTTAATCACAATTCTACAAAAGTTCATAAACTAGGCTATACAGCAGGAGATCTCTGAATCTTTTTCTACATTTGTGGAAAGGATTTCAGGTAGCTGAAATTAGATTTAAAGCTCACCATAAATACAACAATCCATATTTAAGCTCAGTCATGTGAATGAGCTTCTGCTAACAAAAAGGAGGCATGACAATCACATTATCCTGAAAGACGTTCCCAAATCTATTATCTTATGATCAATAATGCACCTAACCATCAATAGGAGCTTGTAATTTCATCCAAGAATGGTTTCACCCACATAATATTGTTTAAGTAGAAAAGATGAATTTAAGATAGCTTATGACATTTTTTTAAGAAAAGAAAAATCACAGTTGGGGGGGCATTTTATTGAGCTGACACAACTTCACTCTATTGCATAATATTTCATCAGCTTCATTCAGGAAGCAATATAGGTGTACATTTTCCTCATCAGTGCAGGCATACTTTCCAAACTTCTTTCTTTAGAAAATAAATAATTGGTATTGGTGAAAACTAGATTTAGCTGCATTTAGTTTTCTTTTTATATGAGCCTCAGTGGCGCAGTGGTTAGAGTGCAGAATTACAGGCTACTTCTGCTGACTGCTGGCTGCCTGAA